GACCAGCCCAGAGGTACCTCGATGTCAACCCATACGCCTACCGCTACTTCAAAGCTACCGTTCCCTGGATTGCCTTTGCCCTCATCGCCCACCATTCGCGGCCATACGGGGAACAGACAGTGGTTTTTAAATCTAAATTGACTGGCAATACATGCCGTGAATAATAGCGATAAATACACCAATGATTTCATATTTGAATCTCTTTTATAAAACTATTCAATGCTAAACATATAATTGACTTTATATCTCATCTAATAACCCCTTATATTACGATTAGTTTTGTTTTAAAGTAATGACAATCAATATATTGCTATATTTCTCACGCATTCAGTCTTATGATAATAGATATGATAAACATTTTAAGTTATATTAATATAAATGTAATAAATCTGATAATTATAAGCCTATTATTTATTAAATTTTATTGCAATTTATATATGAATATAAAAATCTATTTAAACATCAAATGTCTATCAATTGAAACCACTTTCACACGGATTATGATTGAGTGGAGGGTTGTGTCCATTCATTGGCATTAATGTCGTAATCAATCATTTTTGTGTCCAAATTGCGATACTTTCCGACGAATCCGATGTCGACAACGCGATCGCGAACATAGGACACAAGAGTTGGTCCCAAATAGTGACAGTTGTTGTGATAGAGACGACAATCCATGGGATAATCGGTGACGAAGAGCACCGAAAAGAAACCAAAACTTTGATAATTCAATAGCTTTTCGTTCACCAATTGATTCACTCCTAAGACATAATCGCATGAATTGGTGTTTAGTATGGATTTGGGAACCGTTGACAACAGGTTCTGGCAGTCGAGCAGTTGTTGTCTTAAATCCCTTTCGTCGGGATTTGTGGCCAAACAGTAGCCCAAGAATGAGACGATTGAGCCGTAGATACAGGCCTTCAGCGGTCGGTCTCTGCACTCGTGAGTCGTGTCCACAAACACCTGTTTGTAGTCATTCTTCACGTTCTTCAAGTACTCCACCGATCGCTCAATAGATCCGCCGCGAAGTCGCTCCGGAAGTGCTGGAAGTGATGCCGAAGACAAGCGACCCCTCAATGCCTTCAAACCAATCACTAATCGATTCATTGGTTTTCAAGTTTTACCGCATTTTTGGCCATAAATTCAATATTCACTCAAAAAATGTGACAATTATTTCGTACAATATATACACAAACTCTATGACACATCATAAGTGCCCCCTTTTGTCATATGTTATATAATTTCATTGTAGATATAATGCAAAAACTCCACACTTGTATGTAAACTACAAACCCACTCAATATCGTCACGACATTTCTTAATTACTTGACATTTAAATGTCATACAGTATTGAATGCAAACTTTAAAAGCCTTTTTAATATAAGAATTTTGGTGACAAATGTATAGCAAAACTGAAATAAAATAGACCCAAAAGTGTTGTGCACTACATGTGTATGACATGAATGTAAACAAACCGACGATTGTCTGAAATGTCATCCAAAGAGCGGTGATATCTTGGGCTGCGATGGATGTGTTGGCCACCAACAGGTCGGGCACGGGATCCGAGTACCTGTCGCTGGACTTCGGGCCCTTCGAGTCCGTCCATCGGTGGCGTCGATGCGGTGAATGCGATGAGTTTGTGGGCAGTCGTCGGTCCAAACACACAATCGTCTCATACAAGTCCTCCATCTATGTCTTCGGCGGTGACAACGGCAAGCATATGTTAAACGATTTGCTCCGGTTTGACGTGAACGACAACTCGTGGTGTCGGGGCATCACTTTAGGAGTTCCGCCCACCAGTCGCTACCATCACTCGGCCGTTGTCTACGAGAACTCTATGTTTGTCTTCGGCGGTAAGCATTTGATCCGCTCATGAGTTGTGACTCGAGCTCTAATGTGTTTGTTTTGTGGGCACCGGTAGGCTATACGGGAGACATACACTCGAACTCCAACCTAACCAATCGGAACGACTTGTATGAGTACCGGTTCACGAGTGGCCATTGGACTGAATGCAAGTTCGAGTCCAAGACAATGCCTGTCCCGCGATCAGCGCATGGATGTGCTGTCTATGACCAGAAACTGTGGATATTCGCGGGCTATGACGGCAACGCGCGTCTCAACGACATGTGGACAGTGCCGCTGACGGGCGACCACAGGGATCGGGTGTGGGAAGAGGTGCAGCAGTCGGGTGACTGTCCGCCCACGTGCTGTAACTTCCCGGTAGCCGTCGCTCACGACTCGATGTTTGTGTTCAGTGGACAGTCCGGCGCTAAGATGACTAACGATTTGTTTCAGTTTCACTTCAAAACCAAATGGTATTCACCACTCATTGCACGCAAACATAGGGTTTGATAATAAAATATTTTGTGACAAACAGTTGGACGAGAATAGCGACCACTGAACACATCCTGAGGGGAGCCCCTCCACCACCCACTCGGCGTTACGGCCACACAATGGTTGCCTTTGATCGACACCTGTATGTGTTTGGAGGCGCCGCCGATTCCACACTTCCCAGCGATTTGCACTGGTATGCCATGTGTTTCATTGATTATTTTTAATGATAATAACAAACGCGAAAGTAATGTCCATTTGAATGCATAATTAACATTGAAATGATAGTTTTGAAAATCATAAATAAATAGACCCATCAGTATCGTTGATACAAAATAATGCTCTAATTACTCGTATAAAATTATTTCATAAATTTTGGACACATTTTAAAGGAATAAGCATTGCATTAGATGTGAAATCAATACTGTATTGACAATACATACAAATTTATTGTAAAACAATATATTGGATTTGTTTATGATTTTGGACTTTGGTGTCATGAGACACAGATTTTAAACAATCACTTATAAACAATTAATATATTAAATTCCTGAACGTATAGTCAGCCGTCAGGCAGAATCTCGCGTTGATTTTTAATCATCAGATTTCTAAAGAGTTTTATTTTATGAAAACTAACGATAACTGTATTTATTTGGCGTTAGCTTTGATTTGGACACCAATACGTGGTCTGTAGTGCAGCCATCCATTGACAGTGAGATCCCTTCGGGCCGTCTCTTTCACGCGGC